CCCCAAATGCCCTCTAGTGGTAACATATAGGTAAACATTCACCCCAAATGCCCTCTAGTCGTAACATATAGGTAAACACTCGCCCCAAATGCCCTCTAGTGGTAACATATAGGTAAACACTGGCCCCAAATGCCCTCTAGTGGTAACTTATAGGTAAACACTCGCCCCAAATGCCCTCTAGTGGTAACATATAGGTAAACATTCACCCCAAATGCCCTCTAGTCGTAACATATAGGTAAACACTCGCCCCAAATGCCCTCTAGTGGTAATGCAAAGGTAAACACTGGCCTGAAATGCTGACAGCAACTTCCACTTGCTGTCAAGGATACGCAGAGTCTGGGAAGCCATCAGTCACATTCACTACTGGAAACAAAGAAATAGAATAAACTAAAATGAACCTCATACTGATAGTCTCTCCTTAGATCTTGCTGATCATTTTTCTTATTCTGTTTAATGTTCAATTCCTCTTGTTCCATGTGTGTTAAAATGCTGCTGATTAGTTTACATTTACCAGGACCCACTCCTTGGCCCACAGAGCCCAGCCTGCAGAGCTCACTGGAGCTGAAGCTGAAAGATGCTGAAGAGGCCTGCAGAGTGCAGGAGCAAAAGAGGGTGGACCTGGAGCTCCAACTGGTGGACGTGAAAGAGAACCTGAAGAAAGTGGAGGCCGGACCCTTCACTCTAGGCACAGCTGTGGACAGCGGCCTCCTGGACATGGTAACAGTTAGTCTCAGAACGGTTCACTTCCATGGTCAGCATGAGCCCACATCTGGCAGTGAGTGCATTTGGTTTGTGTTCTCAGGTGAAGGTGACGGCACCCGGCACAGTGCCTGTGACGGCTTCTGCAAACGGAGATGCTGCACCGATCAACTCAGCCTCCACCCTGAAGAACAGGCCCCTGTCTCTCATTGCGTCCAACAAGGGGAACGTCCTGCAAAAGGCCAAGGTCAGATGTCACTGGGCTTCCTGCAGGACGTCACTGCAGCATGTCACTGCAGTATATCACTGTAGCTCAATAGTGCAGCATGCCACTGCAGTACATCACTGTAGCTCAATAGTGCAGCATGCCACTGCAGTACATCACTGTAGCTCAATAGTGCAGCATGCCACTGCAGTACATCACTGT